TTTAGAGATGGTGGAAAAGATTTTTAGCTCAGTTGGATGATTTTGATGGAGTTTTGTTCTCTGAGCTGAATGGTTTAATCGTCAAGCTTTCATCGTTCTTCTGAACGACATCATCAGTTTAAACTTCAGATACAAGTGAAGCGTTCGGATTTCTTCATATGTGGTTCATAGCTTATCCTGTACACTTTGATAATGATTGGTTTTTGTTCACCTTAAACTTGTCATTGTTTACTTTGTTTTGGTCGTATTTCAAAAGAACGGCTACCCAATCAGCATCATCAAAAAAATAACCAAGTCAAGCACAGAAATCAACAAACAGATCATCCTACCATACATAAAATGCATATCAAAAACCACAACGAGATTACTGAAAACCTTCACAATAGGTATTCCATACAAACCAAAAAATCATCACAATCAATCCTATGCAAAACAAAGGATGAAATGACAAAAGAAGACAAATGAAACATCATCTACAGAATAAATTGTGCCAACTGCGTAAAACACTACATCGGACATCGTGGACGCCCTCTTCATCTTCCTCTGTAAGAACTTCAATCAGCGAAAAAAAGCCACTAATATTAATCCACGTGGACAACTGCCGACACTCCATTGACTGGTAAAATGCGGAAATAGTGAATAGAGAAAATTCCAAAAACAGCAGACAATTTTTAAAAGCTTAGCACTCAGGTCAATCAGCAATCAACAAACCTATTGAAATCCATCCAATTTATCAACCAATCAGGAAACTTATGCACAAATATAGGAACAAAAATCAAACTAATAAGAGACAAAACAAAAACAAAAAAGTAAACAATGAAAAATTTAAGGTAAAAAAGAATCAATCATTATCAAAGTGTACAGGATAAGCTATGAATCACATATGAAGAAATCCGAACGCTTCACTTGTATCTGAACTTTAAACTGATGATGTCGTTCAGAAGAACGATGAACACTCCACGACTAAGCCATCCAGCTCAAAGAATAAAACTCCATCAAAACTGGGAATTCCATTTTTTGTCAACAATGACTATGAATGTTTATTCTAAGTTAGAATCGGTTATTAAACATTCATGTTATTGAATTTGTTACAATCAGTTACATTGTAAAAGGAATCGTATTGAATCTTTTTGATTGATACTTCTTGATATGATGATCAATAACAAACGATATACATGAAGAAGTATGTTACATCGAAATAAACCTCGTCTCAAATACAATGTTCAATTCAATAATTGCCAAATGATGACACTGTCACTAATCCTACATAATCTACTACACCATCAACACACACAAAACACATAAAATTCTATTCTTTTTGAACATTTCAGTCTGTAAGGAATGAGAATAATTATACAACATTGTAAACTAATTGCTATCTGAACACATTTTGATGACTCCACACACAATACCACTGTACAGTAGACTTGAGTAGACATTGTCAATACAAATATTCTTATTCAAATACAATTGAATGTTATACAATTCTCAATTTAAAACATCAAACAAACTCCTTAAAATTTGCAATTGGCATATTGTAAAAGGGTTATGTCATAACATTTACATTCCACATGAATTATCCAGTTCATTAAACTACGAACATAATCATATATACATGTATCTGATTTATTACGCATAATATGGTACTTCATTCAACCGGAAACACCAGACAATTTGTTACTATGTCAATTGAACTAGTTCTCTAAAAGAATAGTTACATGAAATATAATGAAAACATGATCAGTATGTCATATAATTGACCGAAATACTTTAATTCTTATATGAATAAATGAGATGAATCATACAGTTTCAATCATGTGTCTTCTTGTTCACTTAGTCTTGATTGAAGCGAAAAGAATATTTCACTGGTTGAAATCATGAATCCATTGAAGCTAGACCACCATGGAAAACCTGGAAGCACTGGACGGCCGTTTCGTCCTAGTATGGGACTCCTCAGCAGTGCGCATCCACGATCGCGCTCCTCGCGAGATTGGAACCCAGGACCTATCAGTCTCGCGCCAGGCGCTTAACCAACTAGAAAAGAATATTTGACTGAATCATTAATTCCAATTACTTCATTTTCAGACTCTACAATTTTAAGTCTATGATGATTGGGATAGATTACAAAGATGAAAATAGGACATGTAAATATGTCATCTTCACATCTTCACCGAATTTGTAGGCTACATACTAAAAAAACAACGTCATTCTATCGAGTTCCATTTATTTTATACATATTATTATAGGTAAATTCACTTGATATTGTTGTTTATTTGAATCTTCCCATTGATGTTTAGGACTGCAATTGTTCAATTTCTTATTGGCATATGTACATACTGTGCGTATGCCTCGATATTGTCTTAATTTACAAGCATTATAAGCAAAGATGGATAGTGGTTAGCAGTGGAATCTACTTTGACTCGCGTTTTGTCCTATTTGAGACTCGTCAGCTGGATGTACCTGCATCTCAGAGTTGTTGTTCTCTCTGGGACTCGAACCCAGTACCGTCCGGTTCAAACGCTATCGCGTTATCCACTTAGCTACTGAGTCCTGATAGCCACTTGCTTGTGCAATCGGGTGAAGTTTAATTCATTTGATATTGTTTTATTTGAATCTCCCCATTGATGTTTAGGACTGCAATTGATTAGTCTCTCATATTGGCATATGTGCATACTGTGCGTATGCCTCGATATTGTCTTAATTTACAAGCATTATAAGCAAAGATGGATAGTGGCTAGTAGTGGACGCGCGTTTCATCCTATTTAGGACTCATCAGTTTGCACAAGCAAGTGGCTATCAGGACTCAATAGCTAAGTGAATAACATGATGGCATATGAAGCAAACGGTACTAGGTTCAAGTCCCGGATTGAACATCAACTCTGAAATGCAGGTATATTCAGCTGAAGAGTCCCAAATAGGACAAAACATGCATCAAATTGGATTCCACTGCTAGCCATTATCCATCTTTACATTATAGGGAAGGTATAGATTTTCATCACTGAAAATTTCCCATTATATTAAAACACAATTGTATAAACGAGAAGAAGATTCAATTCAATAAATTTCTCATCAAGTACTCAACAATTATCTCAAATATTCAAATGAATAATCCATAGAATTGACCAGATTTATGGCAGAGTACATCAATTAGAAATTGTGAATATATAAATTCAGAATTTTGATTGAGATCATGAATCGACTGATGTTAGACCACCGTTGGAAACCTGGAAGCTCTGGACGCCGTTTCGTCCTAGTATGGGACTCCTCAGCAGTGCGCATCCACGATCCCGCCCGCGGGATTCGAACCCAGGGCCTTCAGTCTCGCGCGCGAACGCTTAACCTACTCGACCACTGAGCCAGCATCCAATGGTGTTAGTGTCTAACATCAACCAATCCACGAAATTGCGCGACCATCTTCCATTGTACTGAGGTAGATACCTGTCTCTACCCGACACGGATTAGCTCTACTGGTCACGGCTTCCAGGTTTCCAACGGTGGTCTAACATCAGTCGATTCATGATCTCAATCAAAAGCTTAATAATCTCCACAACCCCAATACTGATAAATTCAGAATTGTTATTTGTCATACATAGGAATCAAATCAGATTGTTAATGTTGAAGCTAGCTGACTAATATAAAGTGTTAACATGAATCAGTTGATAAGTGAAATGAAATTATGTGATAACAAATGATCAGAATAAATATGGTCAACATGGGCTGTGTGTGTGTGTGAGAGAGAGAGAGAAAAAGAAAATAATCGGATAAGAATCGGATATGACGTAATATGTGGAATAATATGAATTAGGTCAGATATAGTAGATTTAGGGGTGAATATTGAATAAATTCCTCATAAAGATTATCAACTGTAATGATAAGTTTGGGACATGAAATGAATATTAATCAAATTACGTCACCATATTATAAAATTGATTATTAAGTAGTTGGATCCAAAGTTGGCCAGGGTAAAAGGAATGACTGAATATATATTTCTTTTGGGTGCAAAGCGCTGGCATTTTAATCCAAATATCAATTGCTTCAGCCGTCTGTAGGATTCTCAGTTTGACGGAATTAGGTAGACTGTTGTTAACATGATAGATTATTGTAATATCTGATTAATAATAAAATGAACATATTTTAATAGATAAATTAGTTTAAGGATAACTCATATGCCCTAGTACGGTGAAGAGTGGAGAGAGTCAGATCTCTCTCATCATATGCTCTCATATAGCCACACATACATAGCCTATACCAGGGAACTCCTACTCATTGCCTTCTAGTACATTGGGTATTGTTTACGGAATTGAAAGGTTGAAAAGTGAATATTCAGTGCTTTAACCAGGCTGATAGAGACGAAGTTGGAAAATGCTGATTTCAAACCAATAGTACACATGAGCTCCAGTATTCTGAGGTAGCAAATGGTATATGAACCAATTATTGGTCACCAGCTACTATCTCTTTACGATGCTTCACTGCCTTGTGGGTCAAACATTTAGGTCAAAGACTCTGGGTGTGGCCCTGTAAAAAAAACCACCTGACTCGACCTGAGCATACGGACTGGATCACAGCCCACACAACAAATCAAATGAGATTTTTGTAGCACATATATATATATCTAGTGCACTCTTGTACCATTATCTACGTATTCATATATATAATGGTTATAAGTTACCTATTTTTACTGTATACCATTTCATCATTTGTCATCATATAACCATTAAACAATCAATCAATATAAATTCATTATTCATAATTATAATTAAAACTGAATAATTTGTCTTAATTGTTAATATTAGACAATAATCAGTTCGGTCACCCAAATAACAATATTGATTCATAACCTATGATCAATAGAATGAAATTGTTTTCATTATATTTCATGTAACTATTCATTTAGAGAACTAGTTCAATTGACATAGTAACAAATTGTCTGATGTGACTGATTGAACCAATTACCATATTGTGCGTAATAAACCAGATATATATACATATATATATATGAGTGTGTTCACAATTAAGCTAACTAGATAATTCAAGTGGAATGTAAGTGTTGTTACATAACAGTTTTATAATGTGTCAATGTAAATTTTAAAGAGTTTGTTTAACGTGTAAATTGAAAAATGTACAAAAAAGGGGAAGAATAGTTGAAATTATGATTCAATTGAAGTTAGACCACCATGGAAAACCTGGAAGCACTGGATTGGTTGAAGTTAGACATTAACATCGTTGGATACCAGCTGACTCAGTGGTCAAATGGTTTAGCGTTCTCGCGCGAGACTATTAGGTCCTGTGTTCAAAGCTCGCGGAGAACGAGGTCTTGGATGTGCACTGTTGAGGAGTCCTATACTAGGACAAAACGGCCATCTAGTGCTTCCAGGTTTTCTATGGTGGCCTAGATTCAGTTGATTGATGTCAACTATTGAAATTTCTACAATCTTCACAAAACCTCTTCTAATCAAGAGGAAGAATGTTGTTTTTGTAAGATCTTGGTAAATGAATACAAATATAATCTTTCTATTTAATGATTCACATCAATTCGTTGACCAAATACTGTGAAACTATTTGAAATGAATAATAATATTTGTATTTGAAGTGTCTTCTAAAGTTTGTTGTACAGTTGTATTGTGTGTGGAATGGTCAGAACGTATTTAGATAGTAATTAGTTTACAATGTTGTAGGATTATTCTCATTATGAATGGTTAAACAGAATAAGACTTTATGTGTTTTATGCGTTGATGGTGTAGTAGATTATGTAGGATTAGTGATACTGACATCATTCGACAACTACTTTTCATTGAACATTGTATCCGAGACGGGATTTATTTCGATGTAAATTAGTTCTTCACGTATATGGTTTGTTATGTATTTATTTATTTAATGGAACACATAGATATTGGTACAAATGGGCACTAGAAACATATACGCCAAACAAATCTCATTTGATAAGTGTGAGGGCTGTGATACGGCCAGGCAGTGGAGCATCGTAAAGAGATGCAGTCCCATAGTAAACAGTGACCAATAATTGGTTCATTCTTTTCCTCAGCATAATGGAGTCCATGTGCACCCTTGGTTTGGAATCAAGGTTTTCTGACTCCAGGTCCATCAGCCCAGTCAAAGCGCTGCACATTCTATTTTCGTCCTCTCAGTTTTGTAAACAAAATTCTCGTCACATGAAGGCAGTGATTAGAACTTTCCTGGCATAGGCTATATACGCGTGACCATATGAGAGCATTTGGAGATGGAGAGCTGACGTTCCCCACTCTCGGCCGTATCAGGGTATTCGAGGCCATCATTTGTTAGTGATCATCATATCAACAAGTATCAACCAATGAGATTCAATGCGATTCCTTGTAGGAGGTAATTGGTTGTAACGAATTCAATAAAATGAGTGTTTAATAACCGATTCTAATTTACAATAAACATTTAGAGTCCTTGTTGACAGAGAATAAAATTCCTCATTGTTTATTTTAACTTGTCTCTCACCCGGTGGTTTCATTTTTGGCTTTACACTGACTACGATAATCAGGAAATATACTGCGAAATCATTCGGAGAGTTGAATGTGGTGTTAGGTTTATTGAAGAAATATCAATCAATCTGTTATTTATCGACTATTAAGCAATTCCGTCTCGACGAATAAAAGAACACTTTATACATATAAGACTGTGAATTAATGGATGCCTGTACAAAACATAAACCATAAAGCTTATATTCTATGCTTGTCGTATAAAACGTCAATAATTATGTTAATTAAACAGTCATAATGAGTAATTTTAGTTTTATAATATTGATATGTACCCGTTTCTTACTCGCTAAGTTGGCACAAAATATCAAATTTGTATGTCATTTTACTTTCATTTGACTAATCACCAATTATCCAACCCCGTGACTACTTCATAAGTCTTCTTTCCTCCCGCCTATTTCTTCAACCCATAATTTTACACTGTCTGAAAGTCAGTTGAAAGATGTGTCGTCTGAGAATGCTGGCTCTCTGAATATTTGTTCATTATACCGATAATAGAAAGGTCACAGTTAGATAACGTGTGTGTGCGTCGACATGGTCTTGACATTTGAATTTTCAGTACATAAACGACGTCTTAACTCATCTATTTCACTCAAACATGAAACACTCAATAATTTCGGTTGGAATGGTCGGAAAGTGTACGATTAACTGTGATATATTCTCTGTCTGATTAAAATCTGACATTTCTAAATTGCATCAATTGAATACGTGAATTGTTCGGATATTTGTATTTTTAATGATACCATTAGAATTACTCAACAGTACTTGATACACGTTACAATAGTTCACACATTGAAACATAGATATTTACTTCTTTGTTTTGTCGCTTATGTATAATGATGTACACTTCAGTAAAGGTTCATAGATGAAAATGCAGACCATTCATTGTGTGATAAGCCATGCTTACACACGATTCATATGTTTATGCATTTCAATTGACTAATTATTTCTTAATTGTCAGTATGTGGTCTTTATTGTTCCTTTATAGGTATCTCATTTTAACGATAGTTTTGAAAGCGTTCATTCTCACTGCCTCATGTGTTTTGTGTTTGGACAATGGAATGGCTACGTTACCACCAATGGGTTGGATGACATGGCAACGATTTCGATGTCAAATTGACTGTCACAACTACCCAGATGATTGTATTAGTGAGAAGTTGATTAAACGTACTGCCGACAGTCTAGTATTAGATGGTTGGAGAGATTTAGGTTATCGTTATGTAATAATAGATGATTGTTGGCCAGAATGGAAACGGGATTCGAAAACAAATGAAATAGTTGCAGATTATAAACGATTTCCCAATGTGAGTTTTTGTTTATTGTCTTTCGTATGTGGTGTATAATTTGTGTTTTTTGTTTGAATATTATAGTTTGATTTCTACTGGTTCACAATTTTGTAATTTGTATGATATGTTTCGTTTGTAGGGTATTAAAAGTGTTGGACAATATCTACATTCTAAACATCTACTATTTGGCATATATCTCGATTATGGAACTAGAACATGTGAAGGTTATCCAGGAAGTATGAATTATTTGGAAGTGGATGCCAAAAGTGTGGCTAAATGGGAAGCAGATTATGTAAAAATGGATGGATGTAATAGTCCACAAAAAATAATGCCAGAAGGTTATGAAAAGTTCTCCAAATTATTGAATGCAACTGGCAGACCAATAGTGTTCTCATGCAGTTATCCTGCTTACATTCCTTGGATGAAAAATACTAGTTTGATTGACTGGAAGAGATTAAAGAATAATTGTAATCTGTGGCGTATGTTGGGTGACGTTCAAGATGGCTGGTCATCGGTTATCAGTATTATAAACGCATATAAACTCCAAAATCATATATTACCAAAGTTGGCTGGTCCAGGACACTGGAATGATCCTGATATGTTGTTGATGGGAAATTTCGGTCTTTCAGATGATCAGAAACGAGTTCAAATGGGTATGTGGTGTATGTTCGCTGCTCCACTACTGATCTCAGCTGACATGGACAAGTTAGATATTTTCAGTGTATCTCTGTTGCGTAATGCACGTTTATTGGCTATAGATCAAGATAAAGGTGGACATCAGGCGGAATTCGTCAAGTCACGAAATGATGTACAGGTGAGTTTATAACACTATTGTACAAATGAATTTCAACAATGTGGTGTATCAATGGGAAATTGTGAAATACGGTTTCGTAATTGTTCGGACTTATCAGTAAAACAAGACTGTGGTCTTCTTTGGAGTAACAATCCTCCAGAGATTTAAACAGACCTTTTAAAATGTGACTGTTAGAGTATTTATTTGAAGCAGAGATGGATCATGTGTAATAGTGGAATCCACAACGCTCGTCTCGATATATTTGGGACTTATCAGCTGGATGTCCCTGTATCAGAGTTTGGTGTTCATCAATTCATTGGAACACAGTGCCTCAAACGGTACTGAGCCCAGATAGCTACTGGCTTGTGCAATCGGATGATTTTTATTATATCTGATATATATATATATATATATATATATATATATATATTGGCTATTTAAATACTTCAGTTGGTACTGAGGACTGCGAAGACATTTACAGAGAATGGTGCTGGATCCGAGTCCCACATTAAGTGACAAATTTGAATACAGATAACTCCAGCTGACAAGATCCGAAATGGGTGAAACCTGGGTCCCCGACTTTAGTATTACCCACCATCACCTCTGTTTATAAGGTTTACAACTTACTGGCAACTTTGATGCGATTCGCACAGCATACACATATAAGAAAACAGACTGATCAAATGTAGTCGTAAACATCATTGTGAAGATTCAAACAACCGTCAAATATATGTGGCTTTAGAGACTACATCTCTGCATAACACGTGATGACTTTGTCCTAATCAATCATAACTAGACGATATCGAAATCACTCGATTGTCATTTCTACCTAATCAGACTAGCAGTCACGTCACAATTAGATCAACGGGTTTTAATTCACAGTAAGACAATAGACAAAGTGAGGTTAGTTCCAACCACTTCGTAACGTGGTGGATGGATTTTCCAGGGATTTGAATTTCGATAACAAATGATCGAAATCTTTATTGGTATGCCATAAACGACTGTGCGTCGAATTTGGAAGTGATCAATTGTTTCAAACTTTTACATACGTTTCTTAACGAAACAGTTCTTTTTTTCATGAGCACTGTCTTGTGTTTCATTTCATGTCCTCCTGGTAATAATTTTCATAAACACATTATGTGAGCAAGACGTTTCCGTTTGCCTGAATGTTTTTTTCATACAGATGTGGGTGAGACAATTAGATACAGATCCAGTTGGTTGGGCAATCGCTTTTCTTTACACAGCTGATGGTGGTGGACCAATCAACTTCTACACAAGTCTTGGTGAATTCAAATCACGATCGTATAAGATATCCGGAGACCAGTTTGAATTAGTCGATGTGTTCAGTGGGGATAAAATGAAAGTGGTTCAACGAAGAGAGAAGTTAAAGATTTCTATCAATCCAAATGGGATAATGATGTATCGAGTTAGACGTGTTCAACTAAATACCGCTTCTGGAGAAATTGATGGACCGTTTCAGACATTGTTATTGCCCTAAGAAATTCAACTCATTATTTCAATATCATATGAAATGAACAGTTCTTGATTGAAATAACTATTTTAATACACAGTGTTCTAGAGATGGATCCATTCAGTCACTTATCTCATTGGTATGATGTGATTTTATTTCAGTTGAAGCACTTGCTACGATGCAAAATATTGTCGATATTTTAGGAATGTTGTGAAGTAATCGCTGAAATTGTTGAAAATAGTCAGTGACACATGGATTTATAAACTGATCTTATATGAATTGAGATTATCCGAAAATGAAAATAAGCCAGTAGTACATGAATGAACGAGAACATCATGTTATATTCCATGAGTAATGAATTCGATGAGACAACCATTGATAAGCGTGTTGTTCATCCCATCACGTGTTGTTTCTTTCACGATCTCTTGTTTGTTTTTATGTTTAGACAGACGTGAGGCACTGCTCTATGTTGATCTCTACTTTAAAGTGTTAAGGAATACTGGGTGACTCGATAGTGGCTGGATTTCAGTCGAGATTATACCGCAGTATATTCTGTCTACCGTTTTAGTTACAATAAGTAAATATATAATGAGTTGTTCGTTTAGTTAAATCAAGAACACAAGAATTTGTAGCACAACCGATAGTAATGCGAAAAAATTTGTAAAGTTATTCAACATAAATTTGTGTTGTGAAATGAATCCATGTCGTGTCACTTGATGTTAAACGGAAATTAAATCATATGTATTGATTTGAGCTTTTCTCAGCTTTGATCATGGTCGGTATTCCTAACCGCTTCACGCATACAAAACACTTTAGCTGTTGTAAGTCGTTAGTTAAATAAAACAGAAAGGCGATATATTCATTAAGTATACTTTGGAGTCGCATAGGCACCGTCCAAGTGTTTAAAGGAATTCCAAAAGGATCATAACGAAGTATATCACCATAATTATCGATAATGTATAGAGATATCTTTGTTTTATTTCGCTAATAATGGAATATTTCAGTTAAGCGCATAAATATGGGATAGTACGTAGTGTTCATAACTCGGTTAATTCGTAAAAGCGTTGTCAGATGATTGTTCAAATGGTTTTCGAACTGAACACCTATATTTAATATAGTATACTAAGAGTGATAAGTCAGTACTTGACGATATTCGTAGAGATCAATTTTAGGTAAACACCAACTAGGTATCTCGTTAAGTAGTCTATGTCTGTGAAATGTTTGTCAACACTGAGTCACTAAAAGACCTAACCGATGCATGAATTTCACCAGTATATTTTCATAATGTCATCACATGGTTTTAAGTCATAACATTAAACACCACTTTATATACACATCATACATTTCGGTCACGAATCCACCAAGCTGGACACTTTTGAACTGTATAGATGAATTCATGGTGGCTTGATAACCCTTTAAACATTTTTGTGTCCTTGCAAATGTTATGTGTTATGCTGTCAATATGTAGACAATTCAATGTGCCTGCTGATCGCTGATTAATCTGAGGGTCAAGCTTCTAAAAATTCTCTGGTGTTTTCAGATTTCTCTCTATCCAAGTTCTTAACGTTTTTCCAGTTGAATGTGTGTTTACAGTTATTCACATGCATTGATATAAGCGAGAATATGTCATAGCGTTTGGCCGCCAGTTGATAAGCGGGTAGGTGTAAACGAAGAGGGGGTTACTTTGTCCGATGTAGTATTTTATTCAATGCGAGTAAATTTAGTATATGTTGATGATGTTCAAGTTTTTCTTCCTTTGTCATGTCGTCCTTTGAATTGCATAGGATTGATTGAAATGATTTTATTGATTCATGTGCTACCTCTGTTCCAAAAAACTTCATTAATCACGTAGGGGTTCATTTTACTTCAATGTGACATGTATTCAAATTAACAATCTTCTTATTACTGGCTCAATGTGAATTTCTTCTAGTAAAGCATCCAAAATTTTGCATGAAATAAGTTTCAGCATTTCACTCAGTTACGCTGTTTTTATTTATTATTAAAATATGGAATATCAATTGACTCAATAAAAGCAGTGGGTTTATTTTCAATGAGGTGTCGTTTAGTTTACAGGTTGGCGAGTAAAATCTGTTTCTGACAACAATTTACCTCTATGTAAAACCTTCATTCGGCAAGCATCAAATTTTAAAAATCATAAAACTGATCGTTCTATTGTGTACTGTTTTGTTTCTTTAAAGTATGCAGACTGATTACTGATCAGTTTACTTTTACACATGTGACCTATCATAAATTGTCGATACAAATACTGAGACTTCTTCAATAAAAAATGAATATCTGCTTATATTCACACGTTACCTCTCGAGTAGTTTTTTATGGCCCGTGATCTGACTCCAATTTGATCGTAATGATTGGTTGCTATCATCTATCCTCGTATATAATCATTGACTTAAATCGCGTTAGTTAATAACGGAATTAAATAAGTCAAATAACGAGAATGGAGTTTTGAATGCATATATTTTGTATAATTGTTGATTAGACAAACGAACGGGAGAACGACGCGAAAAGAAGAAAGCGAAGCAAAATTGACGAGCGTTGGAGATGGCTGGTAAGCCAACTCCCCGCTTAACAAAGAGTTAATCAATATTTATAAGCCCACAAAAGAAATTACAGACATGTGATGAGTAACGGGATAAGAAGTGTACATACGCCTACGCGCTCATACAAAGACAGTCAAGACATTGATAAGCGAATAATTAACAAGGTCAGAATGTGACTCAAATAGAATGAATAGAATGAGCTGTCCGAAAGTTAGAATAATGAGGTATTTGGGCTTAACATAATGACAGACACTACAAGTTCAACACCAGCTGTCAATCCGATGGTATATAAAACTCAGCATTACTCAAACTTACTTATGTTTACAAACCTATTTTGTTTGAAACTCAGATTCCAAGGTTTTGATGTTGTATTTCGTTATACACACTCAGTTGTGTGTCCGGTCTAGATAATAGAATAGCCTGCTCTCCACCAATAAGTTGGATGAAATGGCAAAAATATTAACGTCAAAATGATTGTCATGACTATTCAGAGGATTGTACCAGTGAGAGATTAAGCAAATATACAGTCGACATATATGTATCCAATGGTTGAAGAGAACTATGACATGACTAAGACAGAAGTCTCTTTAGTTGAATAATTTATCTTTTTTAATAAATTAGCTCAAGATGAAGGGGTAACAAACACTGGATTTCAGTTAATGCATGAACATGGTCATTATAAGTGCTTTCAAAAAAGTCAAACGCAATCCATGAATCTGTAAACTTATGAAATCTAGCCGATGGTGCAACTTCGTTCAACACTTGTGATTCTCAGTTTTTATAATCCGGTTTTTACATTTTAACTATGAAATCATTTTTTCGTGAACAAGTTTTTCTTTAATCAGCTAGGGTCATAATACAGTAAGTTAATGATCGAACATGTGAATCGTTCACAAGCAGACAATAAAGACCTTTGTACAAATCTTTCGTTGTGGAATATGGAGTACTTAATCTTTACGGGATGCGCATGGGTGATTTCTATTCCGAAAATGAACACTTTCAACCATAGACACTAGAGTATCAACTTCATAATTAGTCATAAATGTGAAAGGAATATATCCAATCTAAGGTCAGGGAAAGATGAGAAGTCTTTCAAAGTGAAGCAGGAGAAAAATGTCCACGCGAACCTTGGATATTTCCATTTGTTCATAATTAGTAGTTAGTTAGTTAGTCGTTATGCTATTAGGAGATTAGTTTGAATGCTCCACAAGGTAATAAGTGCAAGAGATTTTAACATTTTAGTTGTCATACTACCAATTTCAATCTTCTCTCAATGCAGACGTTTCGACCTAGAAATTATGTTTAACGACATGTACATCAATAACTTAACACCAAGATAAAGGGTCACATTTTCTGATAATAGGTTTGTTCTATCTTGAACGCTCATGTAACAGACTTAAAAAAAGACTCTTTCAAGGCCCTTTTAAGTGGGTGCACAATAATCACGTTTTTATTCACAATGGGACTTACATGACATGAGACAGGGGCTTAGTATAACGATACCACAAGAGAAATATATTCCGCATACTTTGGTTTCGCTCTAGTATATGTTATGAGTTGACTACCTCATTATAAATATTGTAGTTAAGGTAGTTCCACCGCCCAAAAAATAACTTTCTAAGTCAAATTCCAGAGATACAAACTACAAAGTGGCTATAAAAACTGCTAGAACTTGTGCAGGTAAATGGTCACCGTCTACATTGACGTTTACTGATGGCCTGAAAGTGTACTTTACCACTGGAGGTAGGTAGTTCATTGATTTTATTAGATAGTCATGGTGATATTGAATATTCAAGTCTTGGATTTTTGTGGTTTTACAGAGTATGTCGTATTAACACCTGACAATACATTTTTAGTGACATTGGATCTTTACTGTTGTACATTACATGACTTCCTACCTTTCATAATAAAATTGAAGATGAGAGTCTGCCTGACTACCCACTTACCTCGAGCCACCGAATAACAGAACCAAAATGTGAATATTATATATATCATCCGTCATTGAAGACTGAATTGATATTCATTTTTATACGGATCAGAAGTAAGAATTTCGAAAAGGTGCGCAACTTTAGAAATGTTAAAGGCTGTCTTGTTAGAGGAGAGTATATTTGATGAGCCTACGGAAGATGAAGTAATGCTGTATGCCGAAAGCTTGGGAATCGATGTTGAGAAGGAACAAGACTTGCTTTATATCGCTAAAGAAGGCATTTCTGCACATTTACCGACTGGCTGGCAAGTTCTCAAGGTATCCAAATTTTTATCAAGTACTGCCACTTCGAGTTCATTGCTTGATAGCATTAGTTTTCTTTATTGTTCCCGCTTCTCATTTTCTTTTTTATCTTATCTCATTTATGTGCTTTGAACGTGTACAATGTTAAAAGGGAATTATTTTCATTTTGAAAGTAACAAGATACATTCACAGTGGGAAATTCCTTGTAGATTAAAAGCTAGAAAATAATTGGGATTTTTATTGGTTAAAATCATAATATTTAGGCATAAGATATCCTTTACTTACTCAGATCATAATCTCTGTATTATGCCTATGTATGTAAAATAAGTGGCAGGAATAATTAATTGTTGATCTACGCTTTTTTTTGACCTAATCTGGGCATGTTTTGTAGTAGTTTTGCTTAGTTTACTGAAGAGTAATACTAAGTAGATTTAGTCTCTTTATATTATTTGTCTTCATGCATAATAACTCTGGTGTCACAAGTTTGTGTATTAATATTAACCGAATACGGGCACTGCGTGGAAGAGCACAATTCATAACATGTAACTTAGGGG